ACGGCAACCAAACCTCTTAAAAAGATGCATATAGATTATGCGGGTCCGTTTTTCACAAAAATTGGTTGATAATAGCCGATGCTTATAGTAAATTTCCAATTTTGTTCCTGTCAAAAATATTACAACAAATTATATTAAAAGAAATTTTTAAAGCCATTACGCTATTTGGAATACCTGAAACCATAGTTATTGATAATGGTATTAACTTCACAAGAATGAATTTAAGAAATTTTGCAACGATTATGGTATCAAGCATGTACTTAGGTCCGCATACCACCAGCTTTAATGGCCAGATGTAACGTATGGTTAAAACGTTTAAAACGCACATGAAAAGTAATATAAATATTGATTTGGCAAATTCTTATTCAATTACAGAAGCACACAAAATTATACGACAGGAGTTGCACCAATCGGTGACATTAGAATTAAATGGGACTTATTAAAACCGTTAGAAGAAAAAGAAGTTAGTGATAACATAATACTATCACGTAATAGAACCTTGATTATAGAAGATTTTATTTGGTATAGGAGATGATAAATGGGGTAAAAGCATAATCACACAAAAAAAGTGACATGATGTTCCAAGTTAAAACAGCTAAAGGTTTTATAAAAAGACATTTACCAGTTAAGAAAAAGAGAATGTTATAATACATTTTTTAAATTATGATACTAACTCAAAAAATTATTTTAAGGAGGGAAGTATCGACATAAATAAAAATACCATGCAATTTCTAGACCAATACATATAAAACAAAAACCTGTTTATTTAAAAGATTACGTAACTTAATATATATATTAAAAAATGTATAAACACTGAAACGCGAAAATAAATTAAACATTAAAAACATGATAATCTTATTGATTTATCATTCCAAAATTCGATTATTCAATTTATTCAATTTGATTCTATTATATACATTATTCTAAATTTCATATATTATTCCAAATTTCACATATTATTCCGATAATACATTTATTCTAATATCCAATTTGATCAATTATTATTCCTAATTATTCATAACAAATTGATGATGATAACAATTTTGAAAATTGATAATAATAACAACGGAGTATAACAAGCAAGCTTATATGACGAAATTGCGATGGATAAAAACAATTTATGATAAGGATATCAAGCTAACGATTTGGACAAACCTACATACAAACTCAAAAACCATTTGGACAAACCAAAGAATAAAATCAAATGCGAATAGAACAGCCAAAACGATGAATCATTTTGTCAACAAGCTCTCAATGATAGCTTATAACAAACTATTGGGGAAGCTTCTTAGAAGAGGGAGAATGTTGAAAGATCTCTTTTCCTTATTTTATAAAGTTAATATTCAAATTTGACTTATTATCGCAAGATATTTTTATATTCTTATTCTTATTTTGTAAAACTTATTCTATAATTTTAGAAAAGATTTTATGTTATTTAAATTTGTTATAATTTTATATAAATATCGACGATATTTTGTAGTAAAATAGATATAATATATAGAAAATAAAATAATAAAAATTCATTTTGCCTTTTCCACCACCATATTAGCATAAAAGAGAGAAAGTTTTCATTGAGATCCTAGGAAACTAAGATAGTTACATGGGGACCCAGCAAGTTGATTGTAAAAATTTTAAAAGAGAGTTCTTGCCCATTGATCTTTAACCATAATTAAATAAATAAGTGGCTAGGAGACCTAAGGATCCATTGACCAAATAACTATTGAGATGAAACAAGATCTTGAAGATCATGATACCTTCTTTTAACCTTTCGGTTGTTATAATGGGGGGGGGGCGTTTCAGAGTAGAACTGGGAGGCACATATGAAATCCCAAATATTTTGTCAAGTCATTTATTGAATATGTTGTAAAATTAAATGATATTGACAATGAATTTTAATAATGGCTATAACAGAATATTTAAAATGTTTATCTTTACATGAAATAAACAAAATAGCGTGTGTTCCACATTTATTTAAGTGCCATCAATGATAGTCTTTCTGAACTATCAAACTAAAGGAATCTTGGAAAGATTGGCCACTACAAAGGGTGGGAAACCACAGCTTCTAATTTGAGTGGGGGACTTAAAAAAATTTTTTTTCTAAATTGAATTCTTTTATTGTTTTAACTACACTCATCCATAACGAAGGATTGATATTGGATCCAACCTCGTTAATAGATATTGAATTAAATAATTAGTGGAGGTCTATTATTACATTTTAATAATTTTTGGTCGAAGTTTAGCAAATTTCCAAATTCAAAATATGCCCAAAAATGTTAATAAAAAAAATACAAATTCTAAATTAATAATTGCACATGATATTGAGGATATCTGTGAATTTTGCCATTTAAATTCAAGCAAATTTTTGAAGAAATGTTGAAGTTTCAAAATATTTATAAGATGACCAAAACGGGGAATATAATTAATACACGTGAGAGGTTAAAGAATCTACAGATTTGTCACTCTGAGAATTGTAAATTTATTTAATTAAAATATTTTTATTAATACATTATTTAGCTACTTCTTCTTCTGATGATAATTCTGAGACTTATGATACAGACTGGAAAAACTATTCGCTTATTTTACCTTATGGTCTACTTTAAAATTTTTCTGCTTTCTCTAATTTAGCAATTTTATATAAATATTTATTAACCATGCCTACTACCTCATGTACTGCCTAAAGGGTCATGAGTAACATTAAACTAGTTAAAGCAAGACTTCGTAGTAACATGAAAGATCCATTTCTTATTTTAGCCATTTTATCAATGGAAAAAAATTTATTTAAACAATTAAATATTGATAAAATTATAAATTCTTTCGCTTACTCTTCCCCTAATTTGTCTAAATTATTAGTGATGTTAGTTACTTTTGAAACATAACTAGTTACAGTTACTCGTTACATTGGCAAAAACATAACTAGTTACATTTTTACAAAAGTAACTAGTTATTAGTTACAGTTATTTTCAAAAGTAACTAGTTACTTACTTTATACATCATTCAATTATAAAATAATTGTTCTAAAGTATATATTTTTTTTACATTATATTTTTATTATATATTAAAGATCGATGCAATAAAAATTATTTTTAAAATTTATGGGCGTCAAAAAATGATTAACCAATTTTTCGAAGGGGAGGGTGGTTTACTTTTACCAGGTAGAATAGCTTATATAAATCACATATAAATTTATTATAACAGTTAATGTTCGATATTTAAAGAACAAAATATTGTTTATAATGAGAAATATTGTAAGGTTTTAAGCTTGTAGAAATTGCATTAGACAAACTACAAGGACAGGAAGGTACATTTTATGGAGAATTAGCTCCCATTCTTTTTTTGGTTAAAAGGAAATTAGGTAAACTTAAAAATTTAAGTTTCAAATATTGCCTACCATTATTAGAAGCTGTCCAAGATGGTATGGGCAAAAGATAAAATATTTTCCTGTGATAATGACAGCGTCTACATGACAGGATTTTCACTGGATGCAAACTCCCTTCAAAAACCTTTGCCTACCCCCCCCCCCCCCCAACCCAAAAAAAAATTTTCTAAAGGATTTTTTTTTTGGATAATAAATTCAATTAAATCCTCCATTATTTACAATGAATTTATTATTATAACTTTATGAGCTTGCTGAAATATCTAAACCTTTTAAATGTAATTTAAAAGGATAGCAGAAAGTTTTATTTGGAAAACAATATGTATAATTGTTTGCAATATATAGATTTAATCGATGAATTGTATTATAATAGTTCTATAATAAAAGTATTAATTTTTACAGCAATAAATTTTGTCCTATTTCATCTCAAAATTCAATAGATAATCCCCCCAAAAATTTATCCTACCCCCATTAAAACCGCCACCCCTACCCCCTCAAAAAAATAGGATGCAAACTGTTCCTACCCCTCCCGCTCATGTAGACGCTGGATAATGAATATAATGAGGCTCTTTGACATCATCATTATCACATCCATATTTTAAGAACCTAAGGATTGAGTCGGATGATAAAAAAAAATATATTCAAAATATATTATTAAAGAAGCCCTAAATGTAGTACCAAACTGTAACACCAATAGATTTAACATCTAATAAAAATGATGATTAATTTTCCTTTGGTGATGTTGCTGAGTTCAATAATACAAGTAATAGAGTTGGAAGTTTAAATTATATTAAAGACCGTTGAAATACATTAGAAATGCTTAATTACTATCCTTCCATTAATGATTTATTTTTTAAATATAATACTGGAATAGCTTCATCAGTCCAGTTGAAAGGATATTTCCTTTTGGAATGTTAAATAAGCCGAACCAGCAAAAGCTTAATGATAAATTATTTGAAAAATTGATTATCTTACAAAATAATGATTTGATTTAATCTATTTTAAATACTCTTTTGCAAACTAATCTTTCAACTTCCACCAAAAATATTAGTCCCTTTCCCTGTCTATGCTATGAATAGGCTAAAACTAATATTAAATTGCCTGATTATTATAATTAAATCGTCATTAAATATTTAATTAATTGTTGTAAATATTCATATTATATGCGTATGTTATATTCTTCACCGATAAATAATAAAAATTGTTTAATTTAATTGGTAGTGATAATTTTATAAAGATACCTTGTAATTAAGATACTCTTATTTAGCAAAAGATACAAGTATCTTTTATCTTGTATCTTTTTGATATTTTGAATTAGATACTAGTATCTGTATCTAAGATACATTTTTTATAAAGAATATTTATCCGTGTTTAGATTCTCTTTCCGAAGGACCTACTCAACTCTGAGAGTTAGTCAATCCTTCTAAAATTAATAGCTATATAGATACTGAACCGCCATTTCAAATATAAACGCTAGACCATCTTTGCCCTTAGGATCGGACTTGTTCCCTTTATCTTTGCACCTATGAGGCCGACATAGCTCCTCCTCTGATAGCAGAAGACTGAAATTAATTTTCATTTTCAGAAATACCCAATCACATTTACAGCTATAACTAATTACACGGGCGCGTCAATCCTTAAATTTCGCTAATTTTTATATTTTTTAAAAATGCTTAAAAATATTATTAAAATAAATCTCTTCAAATATAAACTTTATTCAACTGTTACTAAAACTAGTTTGAGTGAACCCCTAAATATTTCTACCTCAGATAATGTAAATGATTTAATTCCTATCCCTGCTTCAGATAACGAGTCAAAACAATATTCATTAAAAATTATAGATTTGGTTAAAGAAATATCTAGCTTAAATCTTTTAGAAGTTGCAGATTTGAATGCCTTATTAAAAGTAAAATTTTAAAAATATATATCTTATTCTTTTTATAATATAAGAAAACTTTAAATATACAAGATATTGCAAGTTCATTCAATCCTTTGTCTATAGCTGCAATGAATGCAGTAAGTCTAATATTATTTCAATAACATTTTGCTGATAAATTATTTCTAGAATATTAATGTTAAATAATTTATTAAAATAATAAATATATTTTTTCTCTGATTCCCCATATTTAACAAAATAGCAAAATATGCAATCAAACTCTAATGACAAAGAAGCACAAAGCTCAACTAAAACAGCTTTTACAGTTAAAATGACAAAATATGATGAAACTAAAAAAGTTGGTATAATTAAAGAAATCAAAAATTTGATGACTGGTATGAATCTGGTTCAAGTATTTATATATTTTTTATCTTACTTTCTATAAAACATTGATTTATATTTAATTTAGTTTTTATTCAATATTTTGTAGCTGTGTCAGATCAAAATCAATATTGGCCATTAATCAGATTGAGCCAATATTTAAAAAAAAATAGATTTGATCTAATATATCATTGTTTTTGGTTATATTATAATTGTGTATAGTGATTATTAACTAGCTTAACTTAGCCAATTTTAAATTAAGATTTTAGCCAAAATACACAAACCTTAAAACTTTGTCAATGATGTCCAAGTCTTTCCTTCATCTATGAGCAAAATATTTAGGCTTGCATAATTTTTTTGGCTAAAATATATTAATAAACCTTATCTTTACAACACATTATTTTCTGTAGATTATTTCTTCTTACTCTCGGTCACATCCCCATTCACTACACAATTATTTTGACATTTCTTCCCTCTTTCACAAGTCTTTTCACTCAATTCACAACCTCTCCTTATCCACATATTGGGACACTCCCACATGCTCTAAAAACTTAAAATTACTAAACCCGGTCAACACAAATCCAATGGCATCATTTGTCCTGAGTCCGGAAAACATCTTTCTCCCCCCTTCCTAAATCCCTTTCCATTTTTTCTACTCACAGCCATTCTTCCACCCCATCCAATAACGCCTACATACGAACCACATTAGGCACATTTATTCCCCTCCAACCTACCACTCATGGCGACATAATCAACTTCCTGAAATCCGACAAACCTCCCATTATCTCTAGAATTCCTAAAGGTTCCAGAGTTTAAGCCCTCTCCAACTGTCTTCAATCATTATTAAATAACTTCTCTCTCGATCATTGGCTCAAACTCTTCACATTTTACTTCACGACTCTCCAACCTCCCAATCCAGAGATTCAGAATCTTTAACCCAACAAATCAAAGACGCAACTATACATCCCCTCACCCTCACAACCACAATATCTTTTCATGAACCCAAAAAACTTTCCAGCCTACAATTAAGCCAAAGTTAATTTCCAACAAATTAACAACCTAAACATCAAATCCGCTCTTCGTTTACTAGCATCTGATGATTCATTTGCTACTAGTAATGAAGAAAGTTTCAACAAACTCAAATTAAAGCACCCCTCCAGAGTTGATTTCATATCTCCCCCTCCTCCCAATATTTTCCCTACTGATTTCACCCCCGCTGAGGTGCGTAAATCTATTCTATCCTTCCATCACGACTCTTCTCTCGGTTACGATGGGCTTCGTCCCATCTTCTTCCAGGATCTTACATCCCCCCTCATAGTCAGCCAAGTCCCAATTTTACAAAATTTAACAACATTTTGTAATAAAATAGCACATGGACTCGTTCCCAAGTCCATCAGACCTCTCTTTTTCGGTGCTAAATTAATCGCACTCGAAAAACCCAATAAGGATATACGCCCAATGGGTCATTCCATGTCAAATGAGCAAAAAAATCAAGATTTTCGGCCGACCCCTTTCAATTTCGATAAAAAGTTGTAGACTGGTTATATATGTTTCCATTAGATTATAAACAAAATTTTAGCGCATTAGCAACTATATTAACGGAGATAATCGGGTTAAAGTCAAAAAACGCTTTTTTTTTTTACTGATGTTAAATAATTAGTTTTTAATTTAAAACTAATTATGATCAAATATTGAATCTAATATCAATAGCTAAGTTAATAATTGATAATTATGGCGAAAACATCAAAAATAATTTTTTTTAAAATATGGGTCATCTTATGGTCAGTTGAAAACTTGAAATTAATATTTCGAAATGTATATGATCTCCGATTTTTAATTTTTTTAAGAAATATTATCCGTTTACTATTTTTTTAATAATTTCTTTAACAATTAGCATGGCTGGATATTTATTTAAAAAAATATTGCGATTTTTATACTTTAAAAAAAATAGATGGCGCTATATATAATAGTTTTAATATGTTAAAATTCATTTTTTTTATTGATTAAAAATATTTTAATGTAAATATATCATAAAATTCGATTATATAACTTTGTAAACCTTATTCCCCTGAGATATTCGCAGGATAAAAAATTTTAATAATTTTTTTAATATTTCATTGTAAATTAAAATAATTAAAAAATCGGACTAGCAAACGAACAAAAAAGCAGGATTAAAGGGGTGCAGAAAAATTATTAAGGGAAAAATCGAAAATCGCATTAATTACCAGGCCTACCCCCAACCCCCTATCCACCCCCTCCCCAGACTAAGTCATACCCATTAAGACCAAGAATGTTATGAAATTGTCATTATCTTACATTATTAAAATAACCAGAGATAAAGAAAATTTCAAAGATTTTGAAAAATTTTTTAAGCAATAAAAATAACAAAATTATAGTTCTGATGAAATAAGCCGACTCATGCCTGGAATAAAAGATTGTGTATCTGTTAAAGGCGAGAAAGAATTAGCAAAGATTTATATTAAATAATCTTAAAGAAATATTCAAGATGTTTAAGGAAGAATACCCAAGTATATCAATTGGATTCCCTAAATTTGCCGAACTTAGACCAAAAAACTGAATTTTAGTTGGATGGCACACACACTGTTTGTGTCTGCGCCATTCATCAGAATGTGAAATTAATGACAAATGTAATAGCTGAAATTACAGCAGGAGAAGATTACTGTATAAATTCTTATAACAATCTTTTGGCGCAAATTATTTATAATCCATCTCAGCCAAAATGTTATTTAACAAATTGTGATCAATGCCCTGGTATAGAATCTCTTATGGGCCAATTATACGAATTGTTTCAGAGAAATCGTATAGAATATGTCACGTTTAAACAATGGATCACGGTGGATAGAGCAAATCTTGAAACTATTATAAAGTCCATTGATGGTTTCATCGAATATCTATTATAAAAAGTTCAAATTTTACTGCGTCACTCGTTTATAGCTAAACACAAAGTTTATTTTTGAAGAATTCCAAAGAAAATTTAAAAGATGAGGAATTTTTAACAATTCTAGATTATTCTGAAAATTATTCCTTCATTTTACAAGATGAAGTTCAGGGATTTCATTGGAACAATGTGCAGGCCACTATACATCCATTTGTAGCATATTATAAATCTGGAGAAGAATTAAAAAATATAAATTTTGTTATTTTGTCCGAATCATTAAGCCATAATACTAGTGCAGTCCACCTTTATCAAAAAAAATTCATTAAATTCTTAACAGCCAAATTTCATTCTAAACCATAAAAAATAATATATTTTTCGGATGAAGCCGCGTCTCAATACAAGAATCGCAAAAATTTTCTGAACATATGCCTTCATAAATACGATTTTAATATTCCTGCCGAATAGCATTTCTTTGTCACTGCTCACGGCAAAAATGCATGTGACGGTATCGGAGGAACTGTCAAAAGATTAGTTGCCAGAGCTAGTCTTCAAAGGCCAAATAAAAATCAAATCCTAACCATTAGAATTATATAATTATGCTAAAGAAAATATTAATATTCAATTTGAATATGTATCCAATCAAGAATATATCGAAGAGGAATTAGCCCTTCGTAAAAGATTTAATTCTGCACTGCCCATACATGGTACCCAAAAAATTCATGGGATTATTCCCATTGATCAAAATAAACTAAAAACCAAAATATATTCTAATTCCAAAAAATATAATATAAAACAAGTTCCGTTTTTAAATGAGAAAATTATATTTTAAAATATTAATGAATATATAACATGTGTATATGATGATAAATGGTGGTTAGGATATATAATCGATAAAAGTTATACAAATGAAGAAGTAAAAATCCGATTTTTACACCCTTGTGGACCTTCAGCCTCATTTAAATTTCCTCTGAAAGATAATATTTTAGTGTTGCCTAAATCTCATATTCTCTCGCTGGTCAATCCTTCTACTCCCACCAGTCGAACATATATATTATCTCCTGAAGAATCTCACAAGCTAGTCAGGCTTTGTATTCCTTTAGATGAAGTAAGATTTAATTAATTTATAAACTATCTTAATTAGGCAAAATTTGTGAAGATTTTAAAAATTTATGATCTGAATTACAAATAATATATATAATGCACATTGTAATCTATTTAGTATGATATATATACATTAAAATATTTTTAATCAATAAAAAAATAAATTTTAACATATTAAAACTATTATATATAGCGCCATCTATTTCTTCTAAAGTATAATAATCCCAATATTTTTTTAAATAAATACCCAGCCATACTGATTGTCGAATAAATTATTAAAAAAATAGTAAACGGATAATAATTCTTAAAAAAATTAAAAATCGGAGATCATATACATTTCGAAATATTAATTTCAAGTTTTCAACTGATCATAAGATGACCCATATTTTATCAAAAATTAATTTTGATGTTTTCGCCATAATCATCAATTATTAACTTGGCTATTGATATTAGATTCAATATTTGATCATATTTAGTTTTAAATTAAAAACTAATTATTTAACATCAGTAAAAAGCAAAAAAAGACGTTTTTTGGACCTTTAACTGCGAATATCTCCGCTAATATAGTTTCTAATGCGCTAAAATTTTGTTTATAATCTAATGGGAACATATATAACCAGCCTACGAATTTTTATCGAAATCGAAAGGGGTCGGCCGAAAAGTGATTGATTTGACATGGAATGACCCCAATAGCAATCGGGACCGTATTTCGTCGTCTTGTCGCTAAACTAATATCTTCTAAAATTAAGGACAACGCAGCCTTAATTTTAGCACCTCACCAACTAGGTATCGGCATCCAAGGTGGCTGCGAAATAGCCACACATACTCGTATCTATCTCCAAACCAACCCAAATAACGAAATCCTAGTTAAAATTGATATCTCTAATGCCTTCAACTCCATTCGCCGCTCTCACTTTCTCCCACAAATGTACCACTCATTCCCCACCTTTTCTCAATTCTTCCATTCCTACTATTCCATGCCATCTCATCTCCAATTCAACAACTATTCACTTTCATCATCGGAACGGATCCAACAAGGCGATCCTCTGGGTTCGATACTTTTCTGCATTTGGAATCAACGAAATGATCAAAAACATTTCTTCCAACTGCAATCTTTCACTGCACGCTTGGTACATTGACGACGGAATACTCTGTGGTCCCCCTAACGAGGTTGCTAAGGCACTCGCCATCATCAAAACACATTCCCATGCTAACGGACTCTCACTCATCTAACAAAAAACCGAAATCCGCTTTAACCATAATTCATGGTTACAAGACTTTCATGCAAGCTCGGGGGTATCGGCTTACGCTCACCTCTAACTCTTCCCATCAGTGGTTTCATCGCCTCTCGTCTTTCATCTGACTCCATTAGCCAGCTTTCTAACTTCCCTGACCCCTTATTGGCCGAAGCCCCGACCATTTGGGACAATTCAGTTGTCCCAAATACTCCACGGCCCTCCTCATGTCCACAGAGAGACTGGGATATTCCACTCAACGAAGGCTCCGTCGCTTACCTAAAATTGAGCCTTCAAGACGACGATCTCACAGTTTTTCACCAATTGAACTAAGGATACGGTTATGAATATCTGGAAACCATACCCTCCAACAACCTTGATTTGTTGCTCTCCGCTGACGAGCTAAGATTTGCTATTGGACTACGGCTCAATTGCGAAATTGTTCTTCGGTACCAATGCAAACATTGCGAAACCAGTGTCGACCGTACGGGTAGACATTGTCTCCATTGTCGTTTTTGCCGTGACCGTTTTTCACGGCACACCAAATTTAACGACATCATACTACGCGCCCTCAAATCAGGAGGCATTCAATCTAGACTTGAACCAACCGGAATTTTTAGAACCGATGGAAAACGTCCTGGTGTGTCCTTGATTCTTTGGTCAAGGGGTCAGCTCCTGGTTTGGGTCTTCATTTGCATTGACCCAAATGCACCATCTAACCATAACGTCGATGCCCTTTCCTCGCAGAATTTCGAAAAACCATAAAGTATAGTTCCTTAGACCCTTCTTTCTAATTCATACCCGTCGCCTGTATTCTCACCACCTTCGATAGCAAAGCTCAACTTTTTTCGAAGAATTAGGCAAACGGATTCGCGAAAAACCCGATCAGCCTAAGGAATCCCTCTTCTTACGCCAAAGACTTGCTACCGCCATTATTCGCTCCAACTACCTAAGTTCTTCCATTGAATAACCTTCCATATTCCTAGCTTCCTTTTTTTATCCCTTATTTTTTCCCGTAAATTCTATTTCTATTCACCTTTATTTATTTTACCTTGTAAAAAAATTAATGATTTGCTACTACATTTTGTCAACATATATCAGTAAATATTCAAATAAAGTAACCCATGACCGAAAAAAAAATATTGGGTTATACATTTTTAAAAATTGAGCTGTTTAACAACACTAATTATATATAATTATTATTCAAAACATGGAATATAAATTAATTTTATCAAAAATGCAGATATTAAAATTTGCCATTTTTTTTTAAAAAATGATCAAGTATTATCATTTATTTTGGTTATTTTATGATTGTATATATAATTATACAATTTCATAAAGTTTTTAAAAAAATTATAAAAAAAAATAATTTTAGGCCAAGAAATATGTTGAATCCCTGCCTCAAACTGTCAAAAGTGATTTGGGAAAAGATGAAGCTGAAAAATTGAAAGAACAATTAACTGCTTTAGGAGCTACTATAGTTATTGAATGAGTTTTTAATTTATATATATATATTTTTATATCTGAATAGCATTTTTTTACAAAATATTAGTTTATGAATAAAATAAACCCTCCCATATATATTTTGAAATGCATTAGAATGGATATACTGTTCTTTTTTTTAAAACTCAAGGTTCAATTTAAAGTTGTATTTTATGAACATGTTTTAAAATATTAAATAGTTAAAAATCAGAGGCACATCAATACCACTTATTTGGCTTTTACTTCTGTCAAAAATTTTTATTGTTATACATAAACAAATCTAAATGGTCTGATTCACATTCCTAGCCTGAAATCTAAATAATTCGTTAAATAATAATAATAATAATAATAATATTTACCAATGCTTGTTATAATTACTTTATATATTAGATTTAAAAGAGATATATATGTTCGTTTTTTAAAATAAAAATTAAGTTTCCAATATTTTCAGCAAGGATATTCTTCTATGTGAACTATCATATTAATATTCTCAATTTTACTGAATAATTCTTTTGATATAACTGGAGTAGCTGATTTTAAAAATTAAATGTTCATTTTCAGGCACATTTATATTTTTATAAAAATTTTGAAAAAAAAATCCTATAAACTCCCCTCTAATTTTGTATTGCTTTAATCTTTCACCGTGATGTACAATATATTAATAACTAACGAATAAGTTGTTTTCTTGTAATTGTCATCTCATTTCATTAAATATTTATGTTAAGTTTAGCTAAAAATATATGCAAGATAGGATATGTGCCAAAAAAATACGAACTTTACATTTTAAATGGCATATTTTAGCTGTTTCTGCTCAAAATAGTCATAACCAACTACATTGTTCAAACGTTGGTTTTAATAAAAATATCAGACAATATCTTAAATTATTCTTATATACAAAAAAATTATCAATTTTGGAATAGGCGAAGTGATTTAAAAGGTTAGATATTTTGCTGGAACCCAGCAGATTTTTGGTTCTATACTAGGGTTGCCAGGTCAAAATTTTCAAATTATGGGAGAAATTTGGTATTTTGCTGGTGAAATATGAAAATTGCTTTAGAAATATAAAAATTGCTAAAAAAAAATTTTGCTCACAAAGTCCTGGCCTTCGGCCGGGATTGTGGATTAGCTTAGTTCTCCCCCTATTAATTCTTATACCTACTTTATATAAATTTTAACTAAGTCGGAAGCGTTTTTAATTTCAAAATAGGTAATATTGTTAAAATAACTAGTGGAGTACTTTATTTATATTATATATAAAATCATTATTGAATTCCTAATATATGAAATGATACACAAATAATTCTTTAAAAAATTATAAAAACGGAGGTAGGACAGTTTCCAAAAAACATGAATAATTATATTTTAAAATGGTAATTTATATATAATTTACGAAAGAAATTTTTTTTAAATAATATTTTATTATTGAAATAACATCTTTATTTATTAAAATATATTAGTTTTATAAAAAAAACCAACGTTCTTTTTCAAATATAAAAGAATGTAAACAAGATAAAATTTTCTAAGAAAATAAACGATTTTAATTTTACAATGTAAAAAATATATTTATTTTATGCGAATGTATAAATAAGGTTTTATAAAATACAAAAATAATATGAAAAATTAGATAGTTTGTAGTTATAATATTAATTATATTTTATTTAAGATTTAAATAATGGAACTAAATATTTACCGTTGTTATAGAGATATTTTTAAAATTGCTGGCTTGACATATTATAATTAGTTTAAACATTAGCTGTGCCTCTAATGTTGTTAGAGCAATCTGATTTCTCTCCTTTCTCCAGGCAGTCCCCATCATGCTAAAAATGCACTCCGATGAGGCATTAAAATGAGGTAAGGAGAAAACATTCGCATATTTTTTCCCAAGTATGGGGATTTATCATTATTACGAAAAAATTCCACCCATTTCTCCTCTGCTTTTAGACCATCTATCTTTGAATATTCTGGAGAATCATAAAAAATTCAATCTCCTCAACAAGACATCAATGTCTATCGGTATTTTTAATATATTTATTAAATTACAAAAACCACCAATTGATGGTTTCTGTAATAAGGTCATAATATCTATACATTTGTAAATAAGTTATTAAAATCAAATTTTGATTGCAAATATTATAAATTTGTTTCATTTAAAAATACATTAGAGTAATATTTGAATATGATATTTTTACCAATAGCGCCATAAAATTTATTGTCAATTTTTAAAAGATGAACACAGCAGCATAATTTTGTGAACCTTTATGAAAAATATTCTTCTGATTGCAACTGCATATTAATAGCATATAGTATCCTTCATGTGAAATTATTCCTAAATATGCCTCTGCCATTTCATTCTCGAAAAAATTTTTCAAAATATTAGGAGAGCTTTTATAAGCTTTATTAAAGAAATATTTTTTTAAATATTAGGAGAGCTTTTATAAGCTTTATTAAAGAAATATTTTTTTAAAGGTTCGTAAAATTTTAAAATTCTATCGATAGCGGGTATTAATGATAACCATCTAATAGGAACATGTCGCAATAACTCACCATTCCAAGTCAGACCACTCCATCAACTTTTAATTCATTAACTCTTTTAGTTGATGAATAAAATTCGTTAAAACATTACAATTATTTCGACATCCACAGACAATACATTGATTATGTAGTATATGGCATATATAGCTAATTGGTATTGAACATTGTGCTGCCTCAATTATGTAAATAAACTCTGGTTTTCCAAAATTCACTGAGGCATTATCAGCGCAGAAAGCGGACATGCAACTCATTGATAATCCTGAATCTGCTATATTTACCATTATATGGTTAACTATGTCTTTGGATTTTTCAGGAAATTTTTTAAATAGTTTTATTGAAACGCCTTTATTTTTGTTGAAATAGCTGAAGATGGAAATGTTTTAATATTTCCATTATTAGATGCATCCAGGGATGCGAACCCGGCAAAATTTTTGCCCTGGTTCGGTTTAAGTTTAAAAAAAATAAGTGGGTTTAGTTCAGTGAAATATTTTTGAACCCGGGTTTGGTTCCGAGTTCAGCTCGAGTTTAAGAATTTTTAAATTGATAAAAAAAATTATATTATATTTAAATCATAATTAAAAAACTAGACATAAATTTGGTATAAAAAATAAATTTTTTATTTTATTTATAGGCAAAATATATTTAAAAATACAAAGCATAGTCATGTATAGATTTAAAAAAATTTATTTAGACGTATTTCTTTAAATTAACAATATCCAATATAATAATTTTTATTTGACTTGTTCATTTTCCTCTAATTAATAATCTTTGAGAATAAGTTAAAAATTAAAAATAAATGGCGTTAATGAATTTAATTGTTTAAAATTTATTAACAATCCAATAGGAATTTTTGAGAATAAATTTTAAAAAATTTAAAAATTAAGTTGTTTGAAATTTATTAACACTTCACTTAATTGGAAATTTGAAAATATTATAAAATGTCAAGTAAATTATTAATATTTGTATTTACAATTATACAAATATCTTATATTAATTTAAACAATACACTGAACCCGGGTTCAAATAAAATTTCCTGGTTAGGTTCGGGATTTTGAATCTTATAAACGGGGTTCAGGTTCGGTTCGGGTTCAATTTTTTCACAAAAACCTGGGTTTTCTAGTTCGGTTCGAACTTCTGGATGCATCTATTATAATTGCATATGGTTGCCCATCTTTCAAATCGTCAAGAATTGACCTCCTGGATGCAGGTCCTAAAACATTGGTGATAGCCTTGCTCATTTTTGTTCAGTCACAAGTGTTTTCACTTATCTCAGAGTCGTTAAATATATGGGTAAAAGATTCGACCCACATTGTGATGATAAGTAGTTATGTGAATGTTGTACTACATGATAAGTGTATACCGTTTCCGCAACTGTAATTGCATCTTTATTATTTCTTATTTTATAGCATATTTTTGTATTGCAATAGATGTAGATACACTCCTCTGCACTGATTATAATAATAATGTGATTGAACTATAATAAATAACCTTATTATGTATTTAAACGTGATACGTGATAATTAAACGCCTACCTAATACACAAACATACATGAAAATGATAAAATATTAATAAATGATGTATATTTATTATTGATAAAAATAAAACATATGATTAAGGTAAAGATAGAAAGAAATTTACAAACTAGACATGTTTTTTGAATAAATTTAAAATCTATTTTAAAAATTATAAAAATAATCAATTAATGTTTCTCAAAATTATTATTTATAAAAACGTTAAAATGCTAAAAAAAAATTCTGAGGGAGAAATATTAAAATTGCGTAGTTTAACGGGACTGAGATGTCTGCGTGTAAACTACCAGTACAAGCGTTTATTATTTTGAAATCGAGCTCCCCGAATAAGTTGTAGGTAGGATTGAGGTTACATTTATACGAGTTAGGCTTAATATAATAAAAATAACTCTTTTGACTAATTTACTGAGATATAGCTACACCCAAGATAGTTTTAAATTGTTACTTAAAACCCCATAGATATGTTGACTTGGTATTCAGTATCCTCGTTTTATTAGCGCTGTAAACATTTCTAAAAAAGTCGAGCGCGTTTATCATTTATTTACAAAAACCACGCATTCGCGTTCAACGTTTTCCTTTAAAAAACGCATCGCTTGTTCAAAACTTTATGAATTTTTTTTTTTAAATTCATTTAATATATAAATAAATGCTTTATATTTTTTAACACAATATATCAGCCATGTTTAAAATTAATAGTTTTATTTTGATGTATATAAAATAAAAAATATTTTTATTTATAAAGAAAATTTTTATTTTTTAATATATAAATACTTTTATTAGCATATTAAATTAATTATTTATAAAATATATAAATTAAAGGTACACTGAGGGGAAATTATTAATATTATTTTTTTTAAAGATATTTTTTATTATTAAAAAAATAATAAATATGCGATCGTCTGGATATTGGTGGGAATTTTTTGATGTAATAATAATTCAAAGTTGGTGGCACAAATCTTAAGATTTAATATTTTTTCAAGTTATAACAATTTTAATGGAAATGGATATGATTATTAATGGGTCAATCACAGCAAAAACTTTATAGATCCTAATGATATATCGACCCATACTCAACGTATGCGTTTATGGAGGGATCTTAAGGTACATCCCCCCGAAATGGAAGAAAATATTTCTTTCATTTATTATGTGAAAATTAATTAAATTTTAAATGATATAAATTTATATGGACCCATTTTTGTTTTTCCTTAAAATTATAATCTATTATCACTTTATATATTATGTTTATTCAAATAAATTGTTTAATTATCTAGTTTGATTTAATTGTCCTAACTTAGTAGCATCCAATATAGCACACGCCTTTTTAAAATTTTTAAAAAAATTAAAAAAATTATAATTTTCACAAAAATTTTTTAGTCCTAACTTAAGAGCATTTAATATAGCACACACCTTTTCCATTTTTAATGTAAATTTTGAAAATTTTCACAAGAAAAAAATATGTCTTAAAACTTTTGAGTAAAGAAACTTTGAATTATTTTTACATCAAAAAATTTCCCCCCATATCCACACGATCTCATTTTATTTTTTAATAAAAAAAATATTTAAAAAATAATATTAAAAATTTCCCCGAGTTTCAGTGACTTACCATAACATATAAAGATTTTTACTTTATCTATTTATAATATTAAAAGGCTTATGAAATATAACCATCTAATATAAATTATTAACGGACTACTTATTGTTATATATATTAATAAATATTACAATTAATCAAGTGCCTCTTTAAATTAGAACTTGACGATTTGGAAGAATAGTTTATTATAAATACTATGTGATAGTATAATATTCAAATTAATAAACTATACTATAGGATAGAAATAGTTGCTGGTTAAAAAAATTTTAAATATGATAAAGGAAGCCGCTGATTAAAAATAAGCCTTTTTCAACAATTTGGATTAAAATCTTATTAATATTTTTTATTTTCAAATGGATAAAAATAAGGTTTTTTAAAATTGAACGAACTTAAAACACAAACGCGTTCGTCAAAAGAGAATCACTTTCATAGTTCGAAATAAAAGAACCCCACTCACTTTTTAAAAAACGAATTTTGTACGAATGCATTCATTGTTTACAACATTATATTTTATGCTTAAATGATAATTTTGAATGATTTTTAAGATATAGACATTTTTTGGAATCAAAATCGCACATTATCTTATAAATTTTTAAAAATTAATTAAAAAAAACAATTGAGTATGCTAGCAAATGTCATCCTTTTAACCTAGACTGGCAGTTCATTATTATAAGTACGTACATTGAAGTCACCTGTAATCAATCCCACTGACTGTGGTAGATGCTATCAAGGTAAATTACAGAATTTTCACTAGAAGCATACCATGCTCAAAAACTTGTACCTACCCCCCTAAAAACGATATCCTCACATTAATTAAAAAAAAATAAAGACAGAAATATTATTACAATTGTTGAACAGGAAATATTGTACAATCTAATAAAAATAGAAAAAAATTTCAATTTACATGATTTATAAATTATCATTTCAAACACATCTTAATGATAACTTTACATTCAAATATATATCACATATATAACACATCTTAATGATAACATAAACTTTACATTTAAATATATATCACACATATATATATATATACACTTATCACTTACATATAGCTTGTTCATCTCGCTATTTATTATCATGTTTGTAATTATTATTATGATCAATTTATCTCGAATACAATAATTTTGGAATAATTGAAATGATAATGGAATAAATAATTTATATAGAATTAGAATAATAACCATATTTTGGAATATAGAATCATAGAATATTTTGAATTGTAAATTTTTATATAAAAAATTTACTTATTTATTATTAAACTTCAATTATTTTTAATTTAAAATTTTACTCCCTTATTTTTCACTTTAAACAATTTCTTTATATCATAATTTATCTTCAAATTGTTCTTTATAAAAAAAATTTTCTTTCGCCTTCCATTTTTAACATATGATCTCCATATCACATTTTTAAAAACTTTTTTAACATCAAGATATTTTACTTTTACCTTGCCTCTCTTTATAATATTTGTTTTACGTTTCTTTATTTTTAAAGTTTTTTTAAATTTTTTTATTAACTATAAAAGATTTTATTTTACTATTTTCTTTAATTTTTATTCATTATTTTTTTTAATCACAAATATTTCTTCAAATTTTATCATATAATTTATCTCTTTTAATTTATAGAATCTATAATGTTTTTAACATTTGGTATTAATTTACATGATTTAATTTTATTTAAGTTTTTATTATGAAATTTATAATTATAACGATCATGCCTTTTATTATAATGTGTTTCTTTATAATATTTATTATCTAATTTACTATTTTCATAATAATTTTTATTATTAGATTTATTATATTGATTTCTGTTATAATAATTGTCTTTGTCATTATAATAATTATTGTTATGATTATTTTTATAATTTTGACTAAAATTTTTATTAATAATTCTCTTTTATTTCCGTAACCGATTTATAATTACATAAACATTTTAATATAAACAATGCCTCCTCATAACTTGAACTTTCATCTCTCGATACCATTACATCCATAGCCAAAAATAAATCATCTGGTAAATTATGTATTAAGCTTATTTTTACTATCATAATATATGAAATAATCTTCTAATTTATCTATGGATTTTGTTTTATTATTATGGTCCCATATTGGTTTATTCATATTTTAGAAATTTTATTATCAAAATTTTATTTAATTTTCACTTTCATTTTAATCATTTCTTACGTGTTTTAGAATTAATTAAATATAACATTCCCGAATCCTCTTTTATCTAGCTTTGACCATGTTCTAATATATAAAATCATATCTAAAAATTTAAAAAATCTCCAAAGTAGCTTTTCTGCCACTATGATAAAACACAGAAGGCAAAGAATATTTTAAGACAATTTTTATTATAAATAATATATTATGAAAAACTTATATATTTATTTTTACAATTTCCATTCTATATAAATTATTATTTTTATAAATATAAGATTTATTTTAAGGTCAATTTAAGAAAAGAACAATTTAAATTAATTTAAAGTTTTTAAATATATAAAAGAAAATTATGAAATAACTTTTTTAAAGGTTGTAAGAGATACCCTTTTTTAAAGGTACAATTATTTACATATTTAACAACTACAAATTCCGATAATTAATGTTAAATTAAAATGACTAAACAGTATATGATGTTAAATTAAAATAACTAAGCTACCAATTGTCGTATATAATGTTAAAATTAAAATGATTGAACTACAAATTGTAAATTTCTATTATAAATATTATATGTTAAGGAATTTATATGAATATAAAATAATATTTGAACCTTTTTAGATTATTATTTGCATTTTTTTGGTCTGGAGAGGGGGGGGGGTGTGACACCTACTGGTAAGTTCTAAATCTCTTTTATAATTTCTACATCAATGTTTAAATTATATTTTTAAAGAAAATATGTAAATAGCTCAGGAAACTAGAAAAATAAATAAATTTTAGTAATGTTGAATGGAAATAGAAATCACTGGTATCAACGAGTATATATTCAATTTAAACAAAAGACTTTTAAAAATATTTATGCAGAATCTTAGAGTAAAATCAAATTACCTTTTTGCTTATTTTCTTTTTGCACATTCTTAAAAGTCTGTTGAAGTTTTATGTATTTAACAAGTTTACCTATTGAATATCTTTGTTCCAGAACAGTCACAATATTCATGAATAAGAAATAAATATCGACATATGTTTTAACTTTTTAGCATAAATTCATTATTTTTATTTGGATGATATTACGATTTTTATAAATAGTTTATTTATAAATAAATAGTTCTTTCCTATTTGTATCACCTGAGCAAATATCTGAAATATATTCATCAAAAAGACTCAGGAATAATTTATTTCACACCATCATTTTAACAGTATCTACAATTTACATGAATTTTCCAAAATTATGACCTTAATAATAACCTCTCTAGCTGTTGTTTTAGCTGCAATATTATTCTTATATCTTCCAAAATTTTATGAAGTTACAATACAATTTATATTAAATTCATAAATATTCTTTAATTTTTTTTATATACTTGATTTTGTTTTATAATTAGTAATTTTATACACTTTTTTCTTACTATTTAAATTATTTTCTCAGTAAAATATTTTAATAAATTTATATATATTTATATAGAAACGACACACATTTGAAATACATGGACATGTAGAGCCAGGGTTTGAAAGTGTAAAGGAGGCATTTAAGTAATACTTTCTTTGAAATACTAATAATATTTTTTTTGCAATATTTAAAAAGTGAACAAAATGTTTTATAACAAATCACATTATTATTATAATTATAAAATAGTATTTGAAAAAGGTAACTCAAAATTTTAATGATATTTTTAATACAAATGTAGCCATAATTTTTTTTAATGATATATTCTTTTAAGCTATTGCCAAAATTATTAGGATTGGCATAAGTTAGTCATATCACTAAAAGAAAATGACCACTATACACATGTAATATTTTTTTTAGATTTAACCAAGGATTTATTTTTACCAACTTCTTTCTGCGAAAACATCCTTATAGTGGCCAGCCCTTTAGAATAAGTCCTCTCCCCTGTAATGATCACCAGGAGATGTTCAATACAAAGGTGGTCATTATAAGCTGGGCCAGTGGTATAGCAAGAGGAGGTTGTTTCAGAAAAATTTTGTAATTTTCCACCAAACTGCCAGATTCAAAAATTTTGATTGGGTATTTTTGTTAAAAAATTTTTTATTTACCTGTTATTTTTATTATGCTTTTTTGAAATATAGAATACCCTTTTATCATCTCTGTGAAATTGACTTAAGAATTGGAAAGGCTAATTCAAAAATATGTGCCATTATTTTGGGCTTTATTAATTTCTAACCTATAGATGCTTCAACCATATAGTAGTAGTCAGTATAAAGAGAAGAAAATATGTCCAACATAACTATAAATTGATTGATATATTCTAAAAATTTTATCAATGCCTGGTGCTTAATTATTAAATATTTTAATCCACTTGAGATAGGTATATAAAGGGAAAGTTATTAGGAAATTATAAAAAAATTGTCATCATGCCAGATGGAAATGAAGTACTTACCTTGCTTGTCCAAATATTTGGTTCCATGTTAGTTCAGCATAAATACTATTCCATGAAGACTATTGTAGGAATTCTTCATAGGAAATCCATAACATCTAGACCTTTCTGGCAAATCAATAATAGCCAAAATTTAATATCGAAGTCATTATCGGCAATACCCAAGCTGCTAAGATAATATTGTGAAATCTATTTCTCAAATCATTTATTGCAAATATATTATCGTTAATATATTTCCGCATAGGCATAACGGGATAGCTATAGCACATAGGCATTACCGTAATATTGTTATAGTGACTATTTTTAATAATTTTTTTTAAGACATAATTAATTAAAAAAATAATTGGTTATTCAATGTTAGAGTTTTTAATTTTTATTTACCCTAATAAATTTATATAATAATTCCCGAGCTTAGAAATGGTTTTTTTAATGGGAATATAAGGTTTTATGCTTTCCTGTCTATGATTTTTCGTCTTATTCTAAAAGAATCGCCTAATAGGAACCCAGACTTTAAGAATATGATTATTGAGTTAATTAGATCTATTTAACCTAAAATTCCGAAAAAAATAATATTATCTTAGGATAGGTGAATCTCAAATTTTTTTGAGAATGTGACTTCTCTCCCCCGATGCCCTCCTCCCCATTTACAATGAAGCTATTAATTGATGACCTTAATTCTATATGTAAAAATTTCTTAATATATTTTGGTTGTTTTTTTTCTAAATAATTTCAAATCGGTATTAAAAATTTTAGCTTTAACTTGTGTTAATTGTAAGTTATTAACATACTGGCAACATTTTTATCGGTCAAGAGTTTGATTTCAGGGAAAAACTCGGAATCGAAACCATTAATATAAATGTAAATTTGTAATAACAAATTTATTTGCCAAAATTTACTCTTAATTTCTTAACCCTGAATTCACATTTAGCGCGAATTCGCGGCGAAGTATAGAAAATATGCTGTATTTTTGTATAATTCGCACAAACTGTGAATGTAGGGTAAAGCACTTTTCTTTGTTGGAGCCCAAAATGTAGGATTGAGAGATCGGAAGAAATTGATATGTTATTTTTCATCACAAAAAAAAGGGCGAATTTAAGCAAACTCTTATTCATTTATTAGCTAATAAGTGACGAAATACTTGTAAAATATTTACGCCTATTATTTCGAAACTTATGCAGGTAAATGATTATTGAATATTGGTTTTTTGAAATTAATATATGTATTCTTAATATGTTCATTATTTCTTGATAAGGCTCTCGATATAATAACTTTGCGTAAGTACACTCGCGTTAAAAAATTCTCTAAATATGATATTTTAAACAATCTGGATCCCTATTTTTTTTAATCGTAAATAGAAAACAAACTGGTTTGATTTTAATAACGATTAAATGGGCTTTTGAAATGCGGCCGGATTGTTATTTTTAAATATTATATTATAAATTAATTAAATAAGTTAGTATCCTTTGTTTGGAAATATAAGAAAAATTGCTGGTAACATTACTCAAAAACCGCTTTGAAAAAACGTTCTGTCTGGAAATGGCCATGCTAATATTTAGTGCCTGATAATGAGTATTATTAATTCCTCAATCAGTTTTATCAACCAAAAAAGAGACAAAGTCATAAACAAAATAAAAACTATGACTTCGCTCTTTAAGCATAAAGTCAATTAAGTTTTTGGTAACACTAAATCTTAAATTTACATAACCATTAAGTAATGCTTAATTAGTACATTTTTATACTATAATATTGGATTTTGAATATTACAAAAATCAATTACATTTAAATAAAATAATGTGTCTCCCTGATTCGAAATATTCTTTTAATTTTGATTTTAAGGTCTTTATAGATATTATTTATTCATTTTTTCTGTTTATTAATCATCACCACGCACAAAAAAATTTTCACACATTTAATTTCGAAATACCAACTAGATATATCAGTCAATCCACCTTTAGATTGGATTCAACTCCTTCAATCAACTGATAGACTTGGTGGTCATAAATGGTTGTAATCACTCAAGTGGTAACCTTGGTAATTTCTTATCAGAATAACAACTGAAAGTAACCCTTGGTTTACGTCTATGTTGTAACACCGTGCCTCATGCTTATATCAAATGCAAATTACACGTCGATTCAAAGGGGCCCTAATTGTATATTTAGTCAAGGGCGACACCATCGCCATTTTCAGCAATAAACCATATAATAAATCGAGGGTTAACACCCGCCTGAACCTAAATTTACCTTAAGGTGATGGCTTAAAACCTTGTGGCATGACAACCATACCTTTAGGCCATCGGTAATTCTCTAATATGGGACTACACAAATGTCTCTTTATTCTCATCAAATTATCAACCCTAATACAGCAGAAACTAAAAAGATTAACAAATACGAGAATTTTAATAACTTCATATTCACTCCAATAGTGACTTCTACAAATGACCATTTTTCGCCATTAACATATAAGTTTTTAAAAAATCTAGGCAATAAAATATGGCTTTTTACAAACGAAGCCAGATAATTTTTATATATGCGCCAAAAAATTCATTTTATAGACATAATTATTGTTCCTTTTTTGGGAACTCAATTATAAAATTGCATTTTAAATTTAATTTTTATAGTGATTTATAGTATTTCAATTTATTTTAAATTCAAATTATAATCGATTTAAAACAAAATTAAATATATATATATATATATATAATTTAATAGTAGATATAGAAATAAATTAGTTAAAATCTCATTATTTTAAATCGAGTTAAAAATTTGATATGATACTGAATCTCATATTAAGACACAACCCTAAACATGTAAAGTTTGCCAAACTTTTGATAGCACTAATTATAAAGCTAAAGCTTCAATTTATTTTGTAGAGATAGTTAATAGAAAAAAAAGAAAATATCCCCAAATCGGCATCAAGATTTAAGATAGAAGCACTAAAAGCAATAATAATATAAAAAAAATTTTTATTTTTTGATCTTAACTTAAGTGTAAAAAAGTTTTCTCGAAATAAATATTAATATTTAAAAAAATTTTTAAATATTTGTTTTCGCCTTTAATATTATTTTACAACTGCGATGTTCTGTTACTATATGAAGATTTTGAACATTAAATGACTAAGAATTTTTATGCAAATATAATCTAAATCTGATATGAATTCCATGCTTATTAATGAGGGTTTTTATTTTTGGTATTTGTGTGCTTCATATATTAAAGCTAATCAGTTATTTAACTATAGATAAAATCAATTGTTCAACTTTTATTATTATTAATATAATATATTTTGTATAATCTTTTATATTAATAAATTTAAGTATAAATAATTAGCCGCGGGCCTTTTTGAGTTCGATAGAACGAATAATTTAAATTAGCGTCAAATTTTTTCATCAAAATATAACTCATAAAGTGTTTACGATTAACTGTTCAGAAACACAATGGTGGCATCACGATTGTCTACCATTATTATCATTGGATAACGATACCTTACCTCAAATAGTTTATCTGAAAGAATTGGGTTAGAATTGAATTTAATGAGATTTTTATTGCAATTAACAAATTTGGAAATACGAAGCTAATTGGTGAAAATACCATTTTAATTTGATTTAATATATGAGTTAATAAAGTTCTGATTGTGTGAAATTCCATCGATTATCTCGTTATTACAAATTTTAGGTATCATGTCAAATTTATTTTTTATTACAGCGTCAGGGGCATCGTTAGATATGCCCAACGGATGACATTGGTTATAGTATATTTTCACCATAATTTCAAATATTCTATACCCCGATTATTACATTATCAAGTGTTAATCGTCGAATCAAAATCTAAACGATTTATTACGAATTTATGAATGATAATTATGTTATGTCTAACTATTGTTTGCACCCTTAATTTGCATATTAATTTTTTTATTTATCGATTTTTAAGCAATATTCGGCAATGCGATTTTTTAAAATATTTTTCTAGGGCCTATGAATAACAGTAGTGTTTATTCTTAGACTGTTATTATTCTCCAATATTTTATTCGAAATTACCAGTATTTAAAAAAAATATTTTCCCAATAAACAAAATTACCAGTATTTTACTAATATTACCAGTATAAATAATACATAATTTTTTCAGTAAATGCTATTATTTCTAT